GAAAAAATGTGAGCAATTCTCTTTTTTCTTTAAATAATGAGGAGACCCAGCTGTGCATTATTATACTAATCATTGTGTGCTGTTGCATGGTACTCACGCAACGGTGCTGCCAGTACAAGTGCTACAGGGTGTGGAGAATACAGATGCACGTGGGCAATGGAACTCAGGAGACCGTCCTTTCATGGAGTCTGGATTCTCACTGGGTGTTGGGGGGTTGAGGGGCCGAGGAGCAGAGAGGGCAGAGAAGGGGTGGAGTGGGAATGCCGCCAGAAGAGGGGAGCTGCGCGGTGGCAGCGCAGCAGCACCCAGCCGCCCCCTCACGCAGGAAGGACTGCAGGGTGCCAAGGGCGGCGCTGAAGCAAACCCTTTGGCCACCTGAGTGATGATGATGTCCTTTGGGTTAACCAGAGATTTCGGGGGAAATTTCTGTAAAATGGTGGCGAGAAATAAAAATAGCTGCTGGCGGGCCTTCTCCTACACAAATTAGTTTTCCTGAAAACGACAGCAAAGTTACTCCTTGAACTGACACAGAAAGAATACACAGCGATTATTTGATGAGTGATTGAGTAGATGTACACAGGGAAGACAGGATGGCTGGATAGATGGCTGCACACGTCTGCTGTCCATCTAATAACTAGCAGCATTCATTCCAAAATATTTATTGCATATCAGTCCTGTCAATCACTTCATTAAACATTCCACATCATTAACTGCTCTTTTGACTTTGTAAGTTTTCATCTTTTTTTTAAATTCTTTTCTAGAAACAGACACCCATTTTCAGTTGTTTAAAAGGGTCTGAGAGGAAGAGGCCCATATATTGGCATTTCCCTTTTTTTCTCTGGCAGGAAATATAGCTAAAGATATTTTCCCTCATGCAATTTCAAACCCAAATGTCACTCCCTAACTTTAAAACTTTAAATGGTTCTCCTTGCCTGTCACATGTAATAAAGTTCAAATTACGTTACCTGCTCCTTTATATTCTTTTTATAATCTGACATATATAATGATTTTTCCTTCCATTCTTTTGTGTATGTGAAAATTTTTTGTGTGGTAAAAAAGTATAACAAAAATGTTCATTTTAACACATTTTAAATGTGCAATCCAGTGGCATTAATTGCATTCACAATGTTGTCCATTAATCACTACTCTTGATTAACAAAACTTTATCACTCCAAAACAAACTCTATAACCAGTAAGTTCCTATTTCCCCAGTACCTGATAGCCAATAATCTATTTTCTATCTTTATGAATTTGCCTATTCTAGATATTTCATATAAATGAAATCTTATGTTTGTCCTAGTGTGGCTCATTTCACTTAGCATAATTTTTGCAAGATTCATCCATGTTGTAAGTATCAGCATTCATTTTTTTACGGCTGAATAATATTCTATCATTTGTATATATCCCACCTTTTGTTTACACATTTATCTGTGATGGACAATGGCTTGTTTCCCCCCCCCCCCCCCCCTCCATCTTTGGGCTATTGCGAATAATGCTACCATGCACATTAGTGTACAAGTATGTGTTTTAGATGTCTTCAATTCTTTTGTGCATATACCCAGAAGTGCAAATGCTGGTTTAAGTAGTGATTCAGAATATTAATTTTGATTATAAAGTGTCAGGTTTATTTAGTTAATTTTATGCTATTTAGTAGAAAATACCATAATGATGGTGTTTTTCAAACTTTGGGCCCTAATCTATTAGTAAGTTATGAAATCAATTTGTTTGCTATGATCAGCATTTTGAAAAATGAAATAGAAAAACAAGAATGCAATGGACTACTTGAGGGCATTATTTTGTGAATCTTTTATTTCAGTTGTGTGTGTACTGTCAAATATGTCTTATTGTGGGATGTGATCAGAAAAAAATGAGTTGAAGAGTGAGGTTTGGAATTAGCCAGGACTCCGTGTGAGTCTGGGCTCCTGGGGACTTTTACCAGTTATCTAACTTTTTTTGTGTGGCTCAATCTCTTCATCAAAAAAGGAGAGTAATAATATGTCCTTGTTTTGTGTGCCCCTGTGTGAAAATATTAGAGATTACTTAAGTAGAGTGCCTAAAATATAGCCAATGATTAACATACTTACTTCCAAATCTGCTTAAAAATAATGCTTTCCCTGTAAAAACACTTCATTCGCTGGAAGGGAGACAGTATGTGTTACTGATGACTAGACACATTGCTAGGGCTGTTTCTCCGATTTGGTTTTGTAAGGAGACTCAGACACGCAGCTCTTTCCCCTTCTTATTCTCACACTGTACTTATGTCTATATTATGGATTTGGGCACTTTATTATACATCTGTCATGTATTTCCTAATTATTTCACAGCTCGGCTAGTATTACACACTTTCAAATATCTTCCAGTGTTTAAAATAGTGTGGGGCACATTACAGGATGCTGGATGGAAATCTAGGGAGTTTGGCCTACAGCACACTTTTTGCAAAGTATCACTTCTGTAAGGGGAAGCAGACATAATCCTGATTCCACCGGTATTTCTCACTCGATCTACTCCATGCTAAACATGCCAGTTAAGCACCAAGTCGTGTCTCTGGGCAGTACAAGTGGAAGGTGTGAGCAGAGAAACCACTTTATCTGAGGACAGTGGAAATTAGATTCTAGCTCCCCCTCCCCACGCCTGTTCCCATCGGGCGGGGGCGTTGATAATCCCCGAGGACCAGGGCCCAGAAGCGCGCCCGTTCTGAGCCCCAGCAGCCGGCCAGCACGCACGCTCCCCCGCGCTGAGAGCCCTTCTCCCCAGATGAATCCTCATGGTGTCACAGACGCGCGCAGACTGGATCGATACTGGATGGCAGACGTGCTCCAGCCGCCGTCAAGTGTAGGAACCGGGCGGTGGATCTAGCAGCCCTGCCGCCCGGGCGCAGCTTCTCATCAGCTCGATCCAGGCAGAGGGCCTTAACCCATTCCTCGGCTGACACCCACCTGGTCGCCTCCCCGAAACCCGCCGCCCCTTCCTCGCAGCTCGGCTCCGCAGGGCGGGGCTTTGCCATCAGGGCCCGCGCTGGGGC